GACTTCTGAGAGATCAACACAGACCAAACAGGTGGCACACAGCAGATCTAGGTCACGAGGGGTGGGTGTACCTTGAAGATGTAGACCCCAAAGGTAAGACGCGAGGCTGGGTATGGGAGGGCCGTGGGGACATTTGTTGGGCCACCAGGCCACCGAATGACTGGGTCCCCCCAGCCTCTAAAGAACTCAGGAAACCGGAAAAACCCTCCCACAAGGAGAAGGAAAAAGCGTCTGCAGATCCCAAACTACCGCACCCCCCCCAAGGACGGAATAACCCGCCAGGAAAGCTACCCGAACAGGTGAAGGGGAAACAAAAAAAGAACAATGATAGCTTGGGGCCGGCAGCTACGGAATATTTACCTGCAGGGAGCCTGCTGACAGAACAACCCAAAAAAGAGAAACAGCACAATGAATGGAGGCTCAAGCAAAAGGAAGCAGGCAAACCCAGCCCCTCGCACCCTTCAGAAGCAACCCCCGAGGCCTTGGGAACAGGACAAGAGGAAAACAGCGACGCCACAAAGGAATTCCGGTCAAAGGAGGACTGGTTTGAAGGGGCCTTCGGCCCAGCGCCGATGGAAATAGAAATAATCCCGGGCGCCTCCGCTCCCCCACCTCCCCCCACCACCTCCCCGGAAGTAGAGATGACAGACGCCCAACCAGAACCAGACAGCAGATCCCCTGAACTGGGCTTGCAGGAAATAGCTGACTGGATGATGGATAGCCTGCACACAAAGTACAAAAGTGGCGATGACGCCTTTTGGGACGGAGTCTACAGGGCACTGATTCCCATGCTGGAAGGCAGCGCTAGTCTCCACAAAGTTCTGCTACAGGGCCTCCCAGAGGGGGCAGATTGGAAAAACATTTGCCAAAAGCTGCTCAATATTGTTCTCACCCGGTTCCAATCCCCGACTGTAGAACAATAACTTCGGGGGGAGCAGGGAGAACAGGCTGCCTCACAGACCAGCTGGTCCACAACAGGTAATGAGGATGGAAGGCGGAATACACAAGAAAAAGACATGACACAGGGGGAGTGCACAGTAATAAACGAACAAGGAACCAGCTCAACAGAAGATGTACGAGACAACGACAAGGGAACCGAGAAGCAAGGGAGGGGGCAAGGGTACCACAAGAGGAAACTAGGCCCGGGATGGAGGACGACAGTAATGTGGGCGAGCGCCCAATGGCGCAAGAAGGGACGGACCGCGCAGATAAAGCATCTAATCCAGAACTGATGGAAATAAAACAGACAGGATCAGCGTCGCCGGAGGGCCTATGTTTAGCCCTGCCATCCTGGACAGCGGTCACCATTCAGGAGCAGCAAGAGTGCCCCAATGCCCCCCCCCCTCCTCCAAAACCTCCGGAGGAAGATCTCACCAGCAAGAGACAAAAGATCTCTCACCTTCTGGAAAAGGTGCACCCCGATGAGCCGCCCTCCAATAAAGGCGTTGCATTCCTGCCAGTGACGAAAAAAAGAGAAGGGGGCTGGGAACAGGGCCTCGCGACACCCCCGGGGGCGACACATGGGGAAGTCTCTCTAAGAGGGCGCTCCTCTCTCTTCCTTTCTCTCACCTCATGGGCAGAATGCCTGGCACCACGGAAATCGGAAATCTCTCAACTAATACAGGATCAGCTCCCGGAAGGACCCACCGCGGCCCTTGTGGCCTCCTACGGCCCAAACAGAATGGCGTCCAAGGATATTTTCTTGCGTTACGATCAAGCATCGTTTGAGGGCCTGCGCTGGCTGGACCAGGAAGCTCATCTGAACCTGCAACTGTTAAAAATCAAACCGGGCGATCCATGGCCAGCAACAGATATCACCCCCTTCTTGGTAAAGCTGATTAGAAACGGTACTCTGCAGAAGGGAGGTCCGTTGGATACCGAAAAATGGCTCCCCATGTGAAAACGCACACGGAAGAGAGAAACAATACAGCCCAAACATGGACACAGTGGAGGCCCTATATGGTAGAGACAAAACCTGGAAAATCAGTAGAAGACAAGCCGACCTTGACCTTCGCTCAATTAACGTAAACGGGCTGGCCTCAGCAAAACAATCCAAAAAACAAGCAATTGTGGATCAACTCAAAGGGGTAGACGGGAGGATGTGGCCTGATGTTGTTTGCCTACAGGAAACCCACCTCATGGATACCCTAGACCATAACCATACACATAAGGGGTTGTGGCCTCATCAAGCCTTTAGGGCCCATGCCCCTTGGGCAGGGAGTGGAGGCGTCGTCATATGGCTCCCCCCTGATACTCAAGTACAGATGTTGAACTGGGCTGAAGACCAGGAAGAAGGCAGGTGGGTCTATTTGCTGGCAATGCTGGAAATAGACGTGGTCTGTATCTTGAACATATACGCTCCGAATGACCTAGCATCGCGCCAGCGCTTCTTGGAGTCCCTGAAAGCTAACCTGCCGGCGGGCATCCCCGCGATCCTAGCAGGGGATTTCAACGCAGCCCCGGACCGAGCCTTGGACAGATGGAACATTCCTACACCATGCCCGTCTTACATACAAAACGACGAAAGAATGATAGCAGAACACTTTTAGACGACACTTCCCGACTAACCGCTGATTCACATGCTTCCGAAAGAATGGCACAGAGAAAGCAACGAGATCCTGAATTGACCTGATCTTAATCTCAGAGGAAATACAAGGATCCCTGCAGATTGCAGAGATCTTCCCTCGTAGCCCATACCCCGACCTGGATCACTCAATGTGCGTAGTCATTCTCTCGTTCAGGAAAAAAACGGACCAAGGAAGGGGGTTTTACAAATTAAACACTTCCCTCCTGTCCATCGATCGCTTCAAAGCATATCTTAAAGACGTTTGGTCCTTCTGGCAAAAACAGAGAGACCTAATAGAAGATCATATTGTATGGTTCAACAACGGCCTAGCCTTCCTTGGCCGCAAGTGCGATGAATACTCTAAATTCCTCGCGAAACAACGCCACGCCGACGAAGTGGACCTGCATCATAAATTGCGACAGCTACAACTACAGGAGGAAAGTACAGAAAGCTCTACACAACAGGCCGAGTTAGCCAATGTCACTCAAACTCTGGAAACCCGTCTTTTAGAACACATGGAAAATCGATGACACGAAATCAGAATCCGGGGAAAACTCTCAAAACATAAAACGGAGGGAACAATGGACGCACGGTACTTTTCGATGGCCAGGGCAAAGGCGGAAAGATCGGTGATCGAGGCCCTGGAGGACCCCAAATGCTCACAGGGCCCTCTGCACACATCCACGGCAACTTGCACCAGAATAGCACGGGACTTTAACAGCGATTTTGTCAAAACGGACATTTTATATTTTTTGAGCGAAATTTAAATTGTCATTTCCGTGGTGATTTAGGGTCAAAAATGCATTTGAATTTGGGTGTGGGTATACATGCAAGGGTAAGGGGTAAGGGGTAAGGGGTAAAGGGTACGGGGTAAGGGGTAAGGGGTAAGGGGTAAGGGGTTTGGGGGTAAGGGATAAGGGGTTTGGGGGTAAGGGATAAGGGGTAAAAGACAAGGGGTAAGGGGCAGGAACTTGGAGCAATGGTTGTCATCTTCTATACACTGTTTCCATGACAAACAATTTAATGTTACCCACATCCATCCGCATGTAATCACAATATCCAACAGCAGGTTCATACTACTCGCGAACCACTGTGTCCGAAGCCATTCGACAACGTATTGCGGGTATGTCATCAGCGGTGAAAGAGAAAGGCGGAA